AAAAAAAAAAAAAAAAAAAAAAGTGAACATTATATACTACAAATGTATGGAATTTTTTTTTCTTTTCTTTTTGGACATGGGGGAGGGGGGTCTTGTTATTTAGTCCAGGCTGGTCTCAAACTCATTGGAGATCCTCCTACCTCGAGCCTCCCAAGTTCTGGGAAAACATGTAATCATAAAAATTAAAAAAAGAGAAGAAGGGGCTGGAAAGATAGCTAGGTAGTCTAAGCACCTGCCTGTGCCAGCCACTGAAACCTGTAATCCCAGCACTGGGGAGGCTGAGACAGGAGGATCACTACAAGTCTGAGCTGTGTAGCAAGACCTGTACCAAATAAATAAATAATTTTTTAAAGTATTTTTTTAAAAAGAGAAGAAACAGGCCAGCCAACAAAGATGCAATCATAGAAGCCACACAGACACACACATACACACCAACAACCCACCATCACCATGCTAACAAAACAAATGCTCTCTTAGGGTATGGTGATGCACACCCATACTCTCAGCTTCAGGAGGCAGGAGAACCACAAGTTCAGTTCAAGGCCAGTCTGAGCAGTACAAGTCTTGTCCTAAAAAGAGCTGGCTCGGTAGCACAGCACTGACCTGGCACGCAGGAGGCCCTGGGCTCCATCCCCAACACAGAGAACGAACAAATAGACAAATAAACATCACTCACTTAGGTCCTGCAGGGCCCCAAATTGCACACAGACTCCTGTGCCAAGTTCACAGGCTCAGCTGGTCACCTGCCTTCGCTTGGGTCCCCACCCTGCCCCTCTGGTGCTGTGCTCTTGAGTCAATCCCCTCTCCATGGTCCCGGGCTGTCCTTCCTCTTCTGCCAGCCGCCCTGGGTCCCTTGGGGAGGCTGAGTCCTGCTCTCACAGTGGGTGGAGAGAGAGTAGGGAGCTGCTGAGTCACCCTAAAAGCTCCAGCACTGCAGCCCCTGGCTCCCCCAGTCCCTGAATATACCCCTCCCCCAGTGCAGGCCACGACCTTCTTCCCTGTGGCACCTGGTTGGAGCTGAAGCCCAGTGGCTCCTGCCACAGGCTCGGCCATGGGCTTGGCTGTAGGCCTTGTTGGGCCATAGCCAGGCACAAGGCCAGCTGTGCCCAGGGTGTGCGCGGAGGCGTGTGCAGGCCCGATACAGCCCTCCCCCTCTCTTACTTCCCTCATTAAGAAGGAAGCTGTCACTCCTAGAGCTGTTCATGCAGGAGCCTGGAACTGATGTTGTCATTGCAGGCTTGTGTCCCCAAGTGGCACAGGAGGGGAAACTGAGGCCTAGAGGAAAGCAGAGCTTGTTCCAGGTCCTCCTGGGCATGCAAGCAGAAGGAACTTCCTGAATGTTTAATGATCCTGATAGGGACAGGAAGCCAGCAGGAGGAAGCTCTTGGAACCAGAGCGCCCCGCCTCCCCCAAGAACTCCCCTGGTGCTGAGACAGGACACAAGCCTGCCCAGCGTCATCCCTTATTAATATGATACAACTTCCTGAGTTCCTTCTGCTCTGCCTGGGAACTAGAGTGTGAGGGGGACCACATGGCCTAGAGGCCTGGGACCCGCACATAGGCACCCCTAGAGTGGGGCTGTGTGGTCTCTTGGGATCCTTGGTGTGGCTGGAGCCAGGGCATCCATCCTGCCGGAAGCTGGGGTGCCAGCTGGGCATGGCTGATAGGGAGGTGGGAGAAAGGCAAGGAGGCTGTGGTCATGGGAGATGGGACAGAGAGAGCAAGGCGGCAGCTGCCCCCAGGCCAGCCCTTGGGTCAGAAGCAGCCCTTGGCATGGAGCTGGGACACTGCCTAGGATCTTTCCTGGCTGCAAAGACCCCTGAACCCTGCTGCTGGCTCCTATCAGTCAGACTTGTGAGGCTGGTGTGAGGCATGATACAGATGAGGAAACTGAGGCACATCAGCTTCCTGTTCTTGCCTAGGACCATCCCACAGGAAGAAGGTGGTCAAATTGGGACAGTTCTGTACAATGGGAAGACCGTGAGTCCACCCCCAGCCTGGAGAATTTACTTGACTTAGCAAGGCCTTGCCCCAACAAGACCCCCAAAGTAAAAATTTTAAAAGACCCAAGGATGTACCCCTTAGCTCAACTCACAGTAATACAACCTCTCACTCTTCTCTCTCTTTCTCTCTCACACACCACAAGAGACAGAAACACAAGCAAAATGGAGGCAGAATCCTGAGTCTGGAATCTCCACACTCCAGCTGCAAGTGAGTCTGGAGGGTCTCAGAGGACCCATCTGGTCCCCATGGTCTCCAAGGCTCCCTGGGGAGCTGGGGACTTGGTGGGAATGGCCCATACGGCCACACTGACAGATGTGACCTGTGGCCTGACCACACTGACCTGGGGGGAGGCAGCTGGGCTGGTGGGGGAGGATGGAAGCCATCCAGGTGGCAGCAGTTCTGCAGGCCCGGTGGCCACCCATTTGTGGCTTAAATGTTATTCCTGGAGACCAAGGTCATTGGAGCTTGGCCTAGGGCCTGGACGTGTTGCTGTGGAGAAGCAGGGGTCTGCAGTGTGTGCCTCTCGAGAGGGGCCACCCACATCTTCCAGCTCTGACCCTACTACTGGCCACCAGAACTGCCCCTCCTCAGGACACTGTGCTCGTGAGCAATTGTGTCCAGGGACCAGAAATCTCAGTGCTGTCTGGAAAACACGGCATCAGGGAGGAATTTCCCAGTCATTTCTCAATCCCAGGGGCCATGTCCCAACCCTGGGGCCTGGAGCCCAGAACAGAGCACGGAGGCCACCCTGAGGCAGCCAGACAGCCAAGCTCACAAGATCGGTGGCATCCCGGTCCCCTAGTAGGCTCTGAAGCCGGGTGTGTGGACTCTGACACCCAACCCGGCCCATTGAGGGACACGCAAGGGAAGGAAGAAGGACAGAGACCTAAGTATGGCAGGGAGCAGGTGGCTCTTCTGTGGGGACTGAGAGAGGAGAAAGGGCAGGCAGCGCTGGCCAGGCTGGGGGAGGGAGGCAGGGAGCCTCGGGGGGCTGCAGAAGAAGGCGGGTACAGGGAGGGCGGGCCAGAGAGGAAATGAAAAGGCCTGGGTGAGCCGGCGAGATGCGGAGGGCGGGCGGTGCAGCGGGGGAGGGACGGAGACGCTGACACAGAGACGCAGACTTCAGGCTGAGAGACACGCGCTGGAGCGAGGAGCCGCTGAGGAAGGGAAGCTGCAGGGCTGGGAGGTCCGGAACGCGGCCGAGCAAGAGCGCACAGCGGCTGGAGCTAGAGAGCTGGGGAACCGAGACAGCACGAGGCAGGGGCACGGAAGGAGAGAGCTAGGGACGCCGAGAGCCGAAAGGACAGAGACAGTAGAGGCGGAAAGAGAGACCAGTGGAGGAGACGGAGAGGAGCGCAGAGAGACACACACGAAGAGAACTGGGGTGGGAGTGACAGGCCCCGGCTGCTGCCTGAGGACGGTGGCCTGCAGCCGGCATCCCAGTGGTCCCACCCTTGGGAGCCTTCTAGTGCAGGCTGCACGCTGCCTTAGGCGATGGCCGATTCCTGCCGGAACCTCACTTACGTGCGGGACTCGGTGGGACCGACCACCAGCACCCTGATGTTCGTGCTGGGCGTGGTGGGCAATGGGCTGGCACTGGGCATCCTGGGCGCGCGGCGGCAGTCACGCCCGTCGGCCTTCGCCGTGCTGGTCACCGGGCTGGCGGTGACCGACCTGCTGGGCACGTGCTTCCTGAGCCCGGCCGTATTCGTGGCCTATGCTCGCAACAGCTCTCTTCTGGGCCTGGCCCGCGGGGGGCCCGCGCTGTGCGATGCCTTCGCCTTCGCCATGACCTTCTTCGGCCTGGCCTCCATGCTCATCCTCTTCGCCATGGCCGTGGAGCGCTGCCTGGCGCTCAGCTACCCCTACATGTACGCCCAGCTGGACGGGCCCCGCTGCGCCCGCCTGGCGCTGCCTGCCATCTATGCCTTCTGCACGCTCTTCTGCGCGCTGCCCCTGCTGGGCCTGGGCCAGCACCAGCAGTACTGCCCGGGGAGCTGGTGCTTCATCCGCCTGCGCTCCGCCGACCCCAGAGGCTGCGCCTTCTCCCTGTCCTATGCCAGCCTCGTGGCCTTGCTGGTGAGTGCCATAGTCCTGTGCAATGGCTCCGTCATCGTCAGCCTCTGCCGAATGTACCGCCAGCAGAGGCGCCACCAGGGCTTGCCGGTCCCCAGCTCCCGGTCGCGTGAGGAGGAGGTTGACCACCTGATCCTGCTGGTCCTCATGACAGTCATCATGACCGTGTGCTCCCTGCCGCTCACGGTGAGTCTCTCCAAGAGCAGGGCTGGGAGAGGACAGGAGAGTAGCACCCAGCTCTGCCCACTATTAGACGTGCCCCTTTCATGCATCGGGAAACTGAGTCTTGAAAAAGGTCAGACAGCTTGGTCCAGGCCAACAGCTCCCAAGTTCCCAGTGACGCCTTTTCGCATTTTCTTTGGGCCCGCTTGCCCGCTGACTGCTGTATCAGCGTCTACATTCCCAGCCCTTCCATAATCAGGCAGATCCCCCTTCCTGTGACAACAGGACCCACCACCTGAGAGCATTTGCCTTTTGCTCACCGGATGCTTTGTGGTTTCCAAATACCTCCTCAGATAACTTTTCACACCCATTCTGCAACACTGGGCAGGAAATGGTGCAAAATCTAGCCCTGCCACCCTTTGTACAGATGAGGGGCAGTGTCTCTCGGCCAGGGTCACCCAGGGGCCAGGCTTCCCAGCCTGAACTCCCACCCAACTCCCCCTCCTCCAGCCCAGCTCCCATCTGCAGCCACTCTAGGCTCAAAAACGCTGCCACCTTCACCCTTTCCACTAGAACAACACCAGGGGCTGTGACACTTGCTCTTCTCGTCTTTATTCTGGGCCTCCGTTTCTTCTTCTGTAATATACAAAGGGCTGGGCTGGATTTGGAGGTCTTTAATTCATCTGTTAGCAGGGTTATGATGACCTAGAGACTCAAAGGTGTGCAGACAGCACTGGGCTCAAGGGTCTGCAAGCCCAGGGTCCCCCCAGGTGTGAAGTGCGGAACAAGCACAGCCCTGGCCCCATCGGTCCTGCTGGGGAGCTGCGGGTGCTTTCCCTGCCTCTGCTCCAAGATGCATCAGCGACTTCGTTTTCATCTTATCTTACTTCCTTCCTCTCTTATGTGTCACTCTCTCATCCCTGCAGTGAGCAAGTGGGAGGTGAAGAGCCAGGGTGGGAAGGTGGGGGACTGACAGCCTCTTCATAATCCCCTCCCTGCCCCCAGATTCGTGGTTTCACCCAGGCCATCGCCCCGGACAGTAGTGAGATGGGAGACCTCCTTGCTTTCCGCTTCAACGCCTTAAACCCCATCCTGGACCCCTGGGTCTTCATCCTCTTCCGCAAGACCGTCTTCCAGCGACTCAGGTTCTGGCTCTGTTTGTGTCCTCGGTCTGTCCTAAGTGACTCAGAGACACCCCAGGCCCAGCCAGCTTCAGGGAGGAGGGACACCCTGATCCCTGCTGCTCTGGAGGGGACCTTGGTGCCCCTGTCGGCCTGGAGTAAGGGACAGGTGGCGCCATTGCCTCCTGTCTCGCGGCCCGGTGGGGGCAGCACCGTGGGAACGACGACGCTGTCCAAAGCCGAGGCTGCTGTCGCCTGCTCTCTCTGCTGAACTGAAACTGGCCCTGTGACCTCCTGCCCTGTCTTCCTGGTGCAGAAGCCAGAAAAGCAGGGACATGGCTGTTGTGGGAGCCAGAACATTGGCCCCCCAAATTGTAGGGGTGGTCATCGGCTATTTCCCTCCATCAGGGTGGCCATGGAGGCTGTGGGAGGAGAAAGAGTTACCCTGGAGCATGAAAGAACAGTTGTCTCAAAATAGCCCACAGCCTGGCCTGCCGGCCCTGGCCTTGGGCTCCCCATCCATCTCACTGTCCAAATATTTAGAAGGTGGCAAGGTTCCCAGTGGCTTCTGGGTACTCAGGTCTGCAGGGGGTTAGGATTCCTGCTCCCACCCTTATCCATCAAGCGGGGTCCCAGCTGCCCGTCCCAGTTCCTGGGAGAAGGCCCTGCCCTTTCCCAAGCTAGAGATTCCCAGAAAGCTCCCCTCTAACTACTGTTCGCCATCATTCTTGGAGATCCTGCATCTCAAAAGGAGGTGGGTAGAAGGAGGGGTGCTGCATTATAAAAAGCACTAGTGGGCATGTACCTGGTACCCTAGAAACGCCATAGCTTAATGGGCCATGCAGTATGGCCTGTCGTCTGTAAGTGTGGCCGGGAAGACAGCAGCTGAAGGGGTGGGGGTGGGGGGAAAAGCAGGTACCAGCCAAGAATGCAGCCCCCAGTCCTGTGTCTTCTGTTCTCTGGGGCCTGGACAAATAACTGCCTCCCTACAGAGCCTGGCCTCACCTCATTATCCTTGGAGCCCTAAAGATTTCATTCATTCATTCATTCATCCCATACACAGCAGGCGCCAACTCCACCCTGTGTCGGGACACAGGGCAGTCTCTGGCCCACTCCAGACCCTGCTGGGGTGATTTCTAGGCAAGCCCAGGGATGGGAATCTGGGGTGCTTGGGAATGGAAGTGAGTTGGCTTGGAGAGCCAGGGAGAGTGGCCAGAAGACTTCCCACCCCCAGCCCACACTGCCTGCCTCGGTTTCCCTTCCTCACTCACTCCAGGCTGCACCTGGGGAAGGGGTAGAGCAGTGTGAGCTGATGGTTGAGCTGGCGGCGCGCAGCAGGTCCTGCATGCGAGGCACACTCTCCAGCCGCCGGGCAGCCGCCTGTGACCAGAGCTTCTAGGGCTGGGCCGGAGTCAAGGCCCAGAGAAGGCGAGCACTGCCCTGGGCCACACAGCAGAAAAAGCGGACCCGCCTCTGGGCCCCGGAGCCGAGCCAGATGGCCTAATTCACTGCAGGGCACAGCTTGCTGACTGGAACCCTGCACTGCTCTGTGACTCGCTTTCTTTCCGACTGTAATCAGGGGCTCAGCTTAGGGGATAGCTGTGAGGCTGAGAGATGATGGGCTCTGAAGTCTGCTTTAGCTCAGGGCTGGGAAGCAGGGCTGGCCTAGGCATTACTGTTACTGCCGTTATTGTCACTGCAGTTATTATCTGGGCAAACATGATTTGAAAACCAGACCAAGCAAGCATGGCATTATTGTTTTCCCTTTTATTTATTTGTAGTCACTGTTTCAAATCACATTTAAGAAAAACAAGGGGTAGCTGGGTGTGATAGCATATGCCTATAATCCCAGCACCCAGGAGGCTGAGGCAGGAGATTGTCCCCAGTTTAAGGCCAAGCTGAGCTACATAGTAAAACCCTGTCTCAACTCAAAACACAAAGACAAGGGAGAGGAGGAGAAGGAGAGGAAGAAGGGGATGTTTTTGAGAGTTAAAAACAGGTTAAAAAAAAAAAAAGGTCAAAACTGAGTACAGTGGTTGCTCCCCTATAATCCCAGCTACTCATAAGGCTGAGGCAGGAGGATTTCAAGTTCAAGGGCAGGCTGGGCTATTTATTTATTTATCAGGAATTGAACTCAGGGTCTCGTGCTTGCCAGGCAGCAGGTTAGGTAATTTAGTGATTTCCTCTGTCATCTCAAAATAAAAAAATAAGCCGAGTGTGGTGCTGTATGCCTGTGATTTCAGCACTCAGGAGGCTGAGGCAGGAACATCACAGAGTTTGAGGCCAGTTGAGGCTACATAGTGAAACCCTGTCTCAAAAGACAAATAAATGAGTAAATAAATAAATGCATGGGCTGGGGCGGTGGCACAGTGCTTGCCGGCATGTGCAAGGCCCTGGTTTCTATCCCCAGCACTACAAAACAAAACAAAAAGAAAAGAAAAAAAGACCAGATTGAGGTGACCGGTTGATAGGAATGGGGTTTTCTTTGGGTGTCCTGAAAAGGATTCCGAACTAGAGTGGCAACAATTATTGACAGTGTGAATGTAGCTAAAAGTGTCAAAATAGTAACCTTTAGCTAATGGGTATCTCACTACCACCCCCTCAAAACCCACATGTAATACTGAAGACAAATAAGGGTGTTTAGAAACTTTTACAGCGGTCATAATTGAGTAATAGTTTCTTGGGTGAATTTAAAAATAAGGAAGTCCAGTTATAAGAAAAAAAAAAAAAAAAAGCCAGATGTGCTGGCGCATGCCTGATCTCAGTGCTCAGGAGACCGGAGCAGGAGGACAGCAGAGTGTTTGAGGCTTGTCTGGGTTCCACTGGGAGCTCAAGACCCATCTGATGAGGCCCTGCCTACCAAACCAAACATCTGGAAACATCAGAATAAGTCCTGCCCTTGGCACCAGACCCAGCGTGGTCTCAGGTGGGACAAATCCAAAAGCCCCTACTGAACGGAGGGTAGTGACAAAGGGATGGAGAGGGTCTCACCTCCTTGCTGTCACGCCGCAGGTGAGGTAGTTCCCTTGGTGACCTCAGGGATCAGTACTTGATCCCTTGAGCTGCCATCGGTCCCATCTTCAGGGCAAGGACCTCCCCCCATCGGATGTTTTAAGACAGGTCCTTCCTGCCTCCCCAAGGTGCCCGGATGAGCTAGAAACTCCTCACCCGGCTGGTGTCCTGGCCCCGAAACGACCAAGTTCATCCTCACTGCTCACCCTGTCCAGTGCCGGCAGGGGGCGCTATCTCACTGGTCGCTTCGCCTGTCGCTTGGAGGCCACAGGCCAGGCTCACCACTGCCCAAGCACAGTGTATTTCCTCTCTTGGTCAGCAGGACACGTCCCCGTGATGATGGGGACAGCGGCCAGGACAACCCTGGCCATGCCCTCCTGCTGTTCACTGTCCAGTGAAGAAAGGCCTGTCCCCAGGGGGTTAGGGCTGGGAGTGGGTTGGGGAGCCTAGGGAGGCCTGGGGTTGCTCCTCGGAGCCCTGGATGGCTGAGCCAGATTCGAGTTTGGAAGAAGTGGTGGAGGAGAGATGCACATCTGTGCTGCACTTCCGGTCTGACTCTGGAACTTAACTTCTGCGCCTTTCGTATGTTTATTAACTTGTCATACTTTCCCTGGAGCCTGCTGCAGGCTGACTGCTGTGTCCTTTGAGGATATATCAGTGGCAGTCACAGCCTTGGTCCTCCTTGGCTCATGAACCAGTGGGATTACTGAATAATCCCATCAGTATGTGTTGGAAGGAGCAGCTCAAATACTAAATTGAAAGCTGAGAAAGCACAGTGCAAAGATGCGCGCGGACGGACGAATGCGAGTTGCCTTCTCTCCCCTGGGGTGGCGGGTAGGAAGTGAAGGGTTGGGAATGAATCCTTATTCATTTCTGTCTTCCTGACAGGAGGCCAACCCACAGATGGGCCTTTACACATCCATGTCCCCTGGTCCTGGGAGCCCAGACTTTTAGGGCCTTTTGTTGCCATGGCCCCACCTGCTGGTCACACTGGGAGTGACACTTTGAAGCGGCCTCGCGGCAGCTACACTGGCTAGCCCGCTGCCCTCTGGGAAGTAAGGGGAGCCTGGCCTCGCCCCCCACCCTTCCGGGTTTAGTCACCTTCTCGGGACAGCCTCTGAGTTGCTCTAGCAGAGCTGGGAGCCCCCACAGGCGTGCCAGCAAGGCTGCGCTGGAGCTGCGGCCCACAGCCTCGTTGCTGCCCCAGGCCATTAGGCGCTGAGTGCCTTCCATGTGTCTTTGATTAATAAAGAATGGAAAGGGAAGTCATGATTACTTAACCACTAAGCCTGTCTGAGAATAAGAGTCTTTCCAAAACACAGGCCTGGCGGGTGTGTGTGTGTGTGTGTGTGCCCGTGTGCGTGTGATGAAAGGCACCGAGAAGCACAGGCTAGGAACGCGGTGGTTAAAAGCCTGGCACTGGGGATCCGAGCAAGTGGGGTCCAGTTTTGAGATCCAGCTCAGCTGTTCCAAGCATGACGCTCCCAGAAGCAGTGTGGAAGGCGCTGTCTGCCCGGCTGCCATCCTCTCCTTTGGGAGCTGGGTAATCACTTACTTCCTGCTTGTGCACCACGAGTATTTGCAAGTGCTGAATTGCAGTAGAAATGCACGCAGCCTGGGTTGGAATTAAGTGGCCTGGTGGCCCACCTACCAAGCTGGTTGTATTTCTGATCTCTCCTCTACAGCCGCTTCTCCATTTTGCAGACTGGTAAACTGAGGCTTAGAGAAATGAAGTCACTGCTCTAGCATTATCAAGTAGGAAGTGACTGAGGTGGTGCCCGAGGTTCAGTGAGGGCCAAGCCCCCCTCACTCTGGTGAGCACTCTGGCTAGGAGGGGGCCCCCTTCTGTGGTACTGCTTCCCATTAGTGCCTGACCAGCTGGCTGGGGGTGCGGGGTGCTGGTGGTGGTGCCCCTGTGTAATCTCAGCACTCAGGAAGCTGAGGCAGGTAGATGGCCACAGGTTCAGGACCAGCCTGGGCTACACAGTGAGAATTTATCTCAAAACGAACAAACAAAAAGCCAATTAATAAGGCTAGAACTTCCCATGGCTAAGAAGGCCATCTCCATGTCACATGCCCTTGAGGCTACAGCCTCAGCCCAGCCCCAACTGGCTCAGCCTGTGGCCTGCTTTAAGGCAGCATTTAATAAACTACCACTTGGCTGGGGATTTAGCTCAGTGGTACAGCGCCTGCCTGCAAGCGTGAGGTCCTGAGTTAGATTCTCAGTACCTCCCCCAGAAAACTAGCAGTCAAAGTACACAGTTCTGGCTGTGTGAGGGCATATGCCTGTAATCTCAGCACTTGGGAGGCTGAGGCAGGAGAATCCTTGGGAGTTTGAGGTGAGCCTGGGCTACAAAGTGAGTTTCTCTCAAAAAGAACCCCCCCCCAAAAAAAAAAAAAAGCTCTACAGGTTCAAATTTACACCGGATCCTTGAGGAGGGCCTTGCCCCTCTGGGTCTCAGTCTCCTGGTTAGCACAAGGCAGTCGTGCCACCCAGCCAAATGGCAGCTCAGTTTCACTGAGGACCCAGACGCAGAGCTTGGAAGATGACCTGTGTAGCAGGAGGCACGCGGGAATAGTGGCTGAAGCTCGCCGTGCAAGGCTCTTGGGTTCATCCAGCTGCGCAGCCCAGTCTGCAGCATACCTTGGGAGTCACAGAGGCCTGGGATGTTGCCCGAACACGGAGACTTTTTTTTTTTGCGGTACCGGGGATTGAACTCAGGACCTTGCACTTACCAGGCAAGTGCTTATTCTACTGAGCTATCTCACCAGCCCCAGACCTGCTTTTTTTAACTTTTAAAAATCTTTTTTTATTTATTTGGTACAGGGTCTCGCTACACAGCTCAGGCTCATAGCAATCCTCCTGTCTCAGCCTTCCCAGCACTGGGATTACAGGCCTGCGCCACTATGCTTGGCTCCAGGCCGGTGCTACACGTGGTGCCGGGGATCGAACTCAGGCGCTTGTGCTTGCCAGGCAGGTGCTTAGACCACTGAGCTATCTCCCCAGTCCCCCAGCCCCGGTTTTATCCATTACACTGTCTACTATATCACAAATACCACACCCTACACAGCTAGCAACAAAGGGAACACAGATGCAGGCTCTGGAGAAATGGCCTGGCTGCAACTTTCAGTGTCGCAAACCATGCTGGGGTCTGAGGGCTGCACAGCCATGAAGCCCTGGCCAACGCGCAACCCTGCCGCAGAAGCGCCCCCTGGCGGCCGCGCCTGGTGCACCCTCCACCCTGGCCACCGCCCCTTCCTTCTTTCCCTGGTTGGCCAGAGTAGAGAAAGCTGTCTCTGTCCACTCCTGCCGGGCCATCCAGTCGTGAGCGTCCATGAGTGTTAGGCCTGCGGTCCAGGCCCGAAGGAGATGTGTGTGGGACTCGCAGCTGGGGCCACTGGCTTTGGGAGAAGCCCCAGAGAACTGGGATACATCCCTCCACCAGAGCCTGTGCCCCAGTTGGTGCACTTTCTGTACTTGGCAACTGTTCTTGGCTTTTTGCTTCAGATCCTCAGACCAACTCCCAGTAACGGCCTCTTGGGCACCTAGAGCCCAGCACAGCCACTTAGGTTTGTGAGTGACGGATAGCAAAGGCCACCATCTCTCCCTGGGTCCCCTGTGGAAACCCGAGGCCGCCCCACCTCTCCTCACAGCCTCCTTGCTCCCTGCATCCTCTGTGCTGCTCCCTGCCTGCGGGAAGGCACCCCTGCCCAACTGCAGAGCCCTCTGGGTCTCTCTGGGTCCCTCTGCAGCACAGTGGCTCTGCCTTGGTGTCTATCCTCTGTCCTGTGGGACCCACATGTCCCCAGGGCCCTGCGCAGAGGGTAGGGCTGGCTCTGGCACCTGTGCACCACTACACTGACCTGCCGCCTGCACTCACTGTCCTGCCCCAACGACCCTGCAGTCACACTGAGCTCAGCAGGATGTGATGTGGCCTCACAATAGGCACAGGGAGGGCCTGTCTGCAGCCTGCCCGGGCCAGGGCAGACCCTGGGCCTGAGACAACACTGGAGGAGCTACGTCAGGTAGTCACTGTATTTTATTGGAAAACATTGATATATATTTTTCTTCACAGCTTGAACTGAACACAATATTGCCCGGTTTAAAAAACAAAAACAACCCAAACATTCTGCAAGTGCCCACAGCCTCACGCCTACCTGCCCTTGCCCTCAGCTCCTGGCCAGGTCTCCCACCAGGCCCGTCCCTCCCTCCTTCCCTCCCTCCAGGGCTGGTGCCAGAGGGCGGAGGTGTCCCAAAGCTGGGCAGGTCCCAGGAAAGCCACTTGATCGACCTGGGGTGGGGGAACCAGATGAAAAGAACAGAAAAGAACCCAGACTGACTGCCTGCGTTCACTGACTTGTCCCAGAGGCGAGTCAGAAGCGAGGTGAGGGGCGGATCATGCTCTCCGCGGGGCGGGCGGGCGGGCGGGCGGGGCGGGCCGAGGCGGTGGGCGGAGCGAAGCGCCAGGTCCCGAGCAGCGGGAAGCGAGGCCCTGGCTGCGTGCAGAGTACAACGGGCCAGCGGGGGTGTTTTATTGCAGGTTTGTTCCTGTGAGGGCACGGTGGGGCTCATCTTCCCTCTCCCCACCCTTCAGCTGGCCTGGCATGGTTTAGGACAAAAATCTAAGTTTTAAGGGGCATTAAAAAATAAAAGGATAACCAGCACATTACAGAGCGACCATCCCCACATCCATTCCTAGACGGCCCTGGGGGTGGGTGCACCGTAAAGGAGGGCGTGGGATGTTAGCACCAGGTATTTACAACAGCTGGGACCCCGAGGGACATGTGCAAGGGCGAAGGGCAGTGGCCAAAGGAGCAGTCCCCGCCCAGCCTGCCTCAGGAAGCCAGTCAGATGGTTCCAGAACAGCGACCAGCAGGACCTGAGTGCTGTCCACTCTGTCCACCCCTTCCGAGCCAGCCCCGGTAGAAAAAGCATGCCAGCTTCTGAGCCCCCCGCAAACGTCCTGGCAGTGCCACGACAACTCAGCCCCTCTGGGCTTCTGCACGCCCCTCCTGGCCCCCAGTCCCAGGCTGCTGGGTTCTGTACACAGAATCACAGGGCTGGCTGCATGCAAGAGTGACAGGCACGCTCCTTGCCTGGGTGGGGGCTTCACCCTCACGGGGCCAGGATAGCACTGGTGGCCACCCCTGTACCCAAATAAGAGAATGAAATGAAACAAACTGCGAGGGAGGGTGGTCACCCCAGCTGGAGCAGGGGCAGAGGCTCTGAAAGGGGGTTGGGGTTGGTCTTATGAATGCATCAGGCCTGGAGCACTTGAACGGCAGAAGAGGAAAGGGAGCGATGAGGGCCATGGAGGGAGACTCGGGAGGAGGGAGAAAGAGCAATCATGCAGCGTGGGACAAATCTTTTGTTGCTTTATCAGATTCTCAGTCAATCAATTGGTGTTTGCTAGAACCGGGGTACGCGGGGGAGTGTTGAAGAACGCGCGCAAGGAGAAATCAGGAGAACGGGCATCGCCAGCTGCCCGGGCCTTCACTTGGCGGTCATCATCTGTACAAACTCTGCAGAGAAAGGAGAAGGCCAGTGAGCAGGTCGGAGCCTGGCGGCCCTTCCCAGCACAAGGGCCACGGCACACGTACCTTCATAATTGACCTGGCCATCGCCGTCAATGTCAGCCTCTCTGATCATCTCATCCACTTCCTCATCTGTCAGCTTCTCCCCCAGGTTCGTCATGACATGGCGCAGCTCTGCGGCACTGATGTAGCCATTCCCATCCTGGAGGTTGGGGACAAAGGCTCTCATTTAGCTTCCCCTGGCAAGGGAATGGAGGCAGGCAGGGACTGAAGGGGAAGAGCAGTGGCCAGGCAGCTGGAAAGGGGGCCCACACTGCCGGGGGTGGTGGCTAGTGGCTCTGGCCACTCTCTGCTGGCACAGGTCTCACGACACCTGGACAGGACTGCTTACCTTGTCAAAGACGCGGAACGCCTCTCGGATCTCCTCTTCACTGTCGGTGTCCTTCATCTTTCTGGCCATCATGGTCAGGAACTCCGGGAAGTCAATGGTCCCGTTCCCTGACAGGAGAAAGGGGAAAGGGAGAAGTTCTTGGCCTGGGCCCTGGGAAGTGGGCCTAGAGACCCCAGAGAAGACATGTTGCCCCATCTGTCCCTAAGGGAACTCCCTGGGCTCACCATCTGCGTCCACCTCGTTGATCATGTCCTGCAGCTCTGCTTCAGTGGGGTTCTGTCCCAGGGATCTCATCACTGTCCCCAACTCCTTGGTGGTAATAGTGCCATCTCCATCCTTGTCAAAGAGGGAGAAGGCCTCCTTGAATTCTGGGAGAAGAAAGGGGACGGGTCCGGGTCAGGAAGCCACAGGGAGTGCCCATGCTCCTTGGAGAAGGCCTAGGGAGTCGGTCCACCACAGGGTGTGGAGCCTGACCACCCTCAGCCCGGCCTCTCCTTGGTGCACTCATTTCTTCAGCCAACCCAGTTCGGCGAAGACCTGGGAAGAAAATGGACTGATGCTGGCTTTAGATAACTGTGTACTTTTTTTTGGTCCTGGCTTTAGCTTCTTCCTCAAATGATGAAACGGACCTAAGTCATAGAGCAGATGAGAGCCAGAGTGAATTCTTCATCTAAGTGTACAAGTCAAGGTCAACTGGCTAGAATGGGAGGGGAGGAGAGCGGAGGCTGCAGAATGTCTCGGCTGACAAGAGGCAATGTGGACAGATTTCTTGTGCTGGGCACTGGCATCTTCCTGAGGAGTGGGGCGTGCGGGGTGGGAGTGTGGGGGTGGTCAGCAGCACAGCATGGCTGACAGGGTGGGAGGCAGGGCAGTGAGTGGTGCTGAGTGGGAAGGCCACAGCTGGGGGCGCATCAGGAACGGAGAAGCACGTGGCTCCTGCCCTCCCACTGGGCCCAGTTTGGCACCTGGTGCTCCCCTACCCCCAAACCCTCTGAGAACAGATGCCTGGCAGCCTATTCTCAGGGGGTGTGGGCTGGGGTGAGGTGGCGGACAGTTTGCTAATGGGGACAGGGTGAAAAGCGGAATGTGTGCAACACTAGGGTGTCGGTGGCAAATCAGGTGGGAGGGACACGCACAGCTGGGCAGCTGTGGCCCCCAGCCTCCTTGGGGGTGGCGCCAGCTCCCTCTACTGCCAGAGGTGGGTGTGGGCACTGGGCAGTAGGTCACATGGACCCCTGCTCACAAGCAGGAAACACAGTTCCCTGCTTTTCTCCTCAGGACTCCACTTGTCCTGGCCAAAGCTAAGAAACTGCATGTGTGACCCTGTGAGAGGCAGCAGAGAAAGGAGTGATGAGCCCATTTCTGCTTCTCCCACTTCAGAGGCAGCTTTCAGCCCGTCACATGGTCTGCTGTCTGACAACCGAGCCAGGGAGCTGGCAGGGCCACGGAGATAAGCCAAGAGGTGGTCTCTGAAACCCCCACATCCCAGCAGCTGAGAATGAGGTGATGGGGAAACCTAAGACAGTCACGCAGCAGTTCTGGGGGTGGGGAATCTTGAGGCGGGGGCTACAAAAATGAGGGACTCACTGGGAGGGATGCTGTTATTTCTCTGTTCATTGCTTAGTTGGCAAAATGTATGTATCACCACCTATGTTCAGATACTGAGGAGATGGCAGTGACCAACAAGGCCAAGTCCTGAGCTCAAGGGAGTCACGTCTAGTGATTGGGGATATGACAGGTAAAGACAGTGACAAAGTGCACACAGCAAGAAGCCATGAGGGATATAAATAAACAAAGCAATGTGAGGTAAAGTGAGGCTACCTACTTGAGTTAGGGGGTGGGAAGGCCTCACTAGGGAGACATGGATCTGAAATCTAAGGTAGGGAGAGGAGCTGCCCATGCAAGCGCTGGGAGAGGAGCATTTCCGGCAGACGAAAAGCAAGAGCAAGAATGCGCAAAACGAAGTGTAAAGGCAGGCAAGCACAGAGGTGGGAGTGACAGCCATCTCCTGGGCGGCTCCTAAAGTGGGACAGGAGCTGCAGGCCCACAGGGAGCCAGGGATCTCACCTTCTAGGCCTATCTGGATACAGCTGACAAAAAACTAGGCTTGTCCCGTGGCCCCTGAATTCAAGGCTCCAGCAGCCAGCAGGGGGACACAGCCTTCGGAACCCACCAGAGGTCCAAGGTCTTAGGACCATGGCACTGGCAGGGTGAGGACATTTAGCAGCATCCCAGACACAGGCATTGCAACGGGTAACACAGAGATGCAAACATTCCTGCCTGTCAGCTTGGTCCCAGTGCTAAGCTCTGGATGGGGATACAGACTTTTCTTAGGCAAGATGATGGGGATAGAAGCCAGCAAACTCACCTGCGATCTGTTCCTCGGTCAGCTGGTCGGCCTGGAAAGCAGGAAGGAAAGTCAGTTATAGACCAGCTGCCCAGCAGTGGGGAGCTCCCTGGCCCACCTGCCCCTCTGTGGAGGGTGCCACATGGTGTTCTGCTGGCCAAGGGATGAAGACCAAGTGAGGGTCCAAGGCAGAGTTGGCCAGAGGATGAGGCATAGAGACACAGAAACTGTGGGCCAGGGTGGGCTGGAAACCCAGGCCTGCAGGCAGGGACAATGCTGCTCCAGCCCCAGTGTAGCAGTGTGGCACGGAATGGGTTCTCCTCTTGCTGCTGGGAGCCCCAGGGGCTGTGTGAAGGAGCGGGTGCCCTAGAGGCCTAATCAAGCAGCTCTAGAAGGCTCCAAACTGAAACAGGCCAGTCCTTGGGTAAGGCAGAAGGAAGATATGTGAGCCATCTCTGCTGGTTTCTGTGTCACCTATTTGGAGGTGGTAGGCCCAGGCAAGGTACACTCCAAGCAGTGGCTTGGAATTGCTTTGGTGCCTGGAAGAACCCAGGGCAGGCTGGAGGCAGCCACTGCACCCCTTGGCACCCAGTGTAGGCAAAGGGTACCCCTGTTTTTTCTTTCAGGCAGAAGGGACAAATGTCAGGGAGGGAACTGCAGCAGGGCAGCAGGAGCAGTAGCACAGGACTGAAGTCAGCTTCAGTGCTGCAGTTTTTAACCCTTTCCAGTCCCGGCCACTCTGGGGCCTGGCCTGCTGTGGTGAGCAGCCCTTGCTGCATGTGGGCCAGTGGGGTGGGCTGGGAATCTGGGCACAGATGTCCTGTGGGAGAGCAGGGTGTGTACTAGGTCCCAACATCTAGTTTTGGACAGCTTATAGACAAGTTTCCCTTGGTTTTTGTGAAGGCAGGACCTCCCTTCTCCCCATGGTCCCGGACTTCGATGGGTCCAACGAACTTTCCCCTTCCTTGTCTTTCCCAGTTAAGGGAAGGGGCTCCAAGTCCACAGCAGATTTTGGCCTTAAGTTTGAGAGTTCCAGAAAGTGAAGTAACCTATTGTATGTGTTTGCATTAGTCTACATGGCATTCAAGACCTTCCCCAGAACAAACGACTGCCTGCTCCCAGCATTGTCCTGGACTTAAAAACAAAAACAAAAGAACATGTTGGTTAACTTAAGGGGGTCAAATCCCAAAGAGGCAGGATGGGAGGAGAAATCAAAGTGATGACAACAAAGGGGGAATGGCTAAGGTGGGCAAGGAGGAAGGCACAAAAGGAAAACACCACATGTGCACATTCTAGAAAAGTCTGGTCTAAAGGGAAGGTGAGGAGGCCAGAAGGAGACTCTTCTATGAGGCTGTCAGCAAAGACTTGGGGATGCAGGCTCAACGCCAACCCATGAGCCCCTACTCTACGGCCTCCTGGGCTCCTGTGGACAGAGGCTCGGGCCCAGCCCCTTGTCCTGACACATGAGGAAGCTGCTGGGGAAAGTGAGAAGAGGATGGGCTTCTGGTTACGGCCAGCAATGCTGGGGGAGGGGGAGGAGGGCTTGCTCCATCTGCTTTTCATTCTCCTCCCCAGGCCTGGAGTGGAAACAGGGAGCGCAGTGAGAGCCCTGCCCAGCCCACTGCACGGCACTGCTCTGTGCCAAGCCTGCCTGGGGAGCACAGCAAGGGGCTGCAGAATGCCCACGAGTGGGGCTGAAGCCCAGTGTCTGTCACTCCCACCCAAGAGCTGGGAGATGCAGGTGAGCACTGTTGGTTCCAGGGCTGCTGCAAATAGGCGTGGCTCTGCCTGAGGCCAGTCAGACTCCCTGCCCTTTAGGAGCCCTGTGCCCTGCTCAGCCCAGTAAGGGGCCCAGCTCGGAGCTACAGATCTCAGTGTGTGGCTGCTGTCCAGAAAACTAAACGTCTGAAAAGTGATCACTGGGACCCCTCCCCAGGGTCACTTTCCTTTCCAGAGGGTTGTAAACAGTCACCCAAAACTGTCTCCAAAATAATCCAGCTGGTCTCCTGCTTCCTTGTCCCAGCATCTTGGGCTCCAGCAAAGGGATGCACAAGAAAAAAATAAATAAATAAAATAAAAGCTTGAGGGGGGGGAGGGAAGAGGGTATTATTTCTCTGCCTGCCCCAGGCCCAGCCAATGCCAGAGAGTAGTGTCAGATGAGATCAGAAACCAAGGCCAGGGCCCCTTACTGGGGCCAAGGAGGAGCCATAGAGCTCAGGCCAAAGTCCAAAGCCAGTTAACAGAGCCTCGTCCCACCCACACCTTGCTGATTACAAATGGGAAGAGCAACTGGTCAGGATGAACGGTGGGGCCCTCCTTTGGAGGTGGGAGACCTGCTGGCACCTGTAAGCACTGCAGGGTCCCATTAGCAACATTCTGCTGGAGAAAATGGGGTAGCGGCAAGAGCAGCCATCAGGTCTGTGTCAGCAAGTATGAGATCTGATACAGGGCTGAGGCTGCCTGTTCTCCCAGGCCTTGCCAGGGAGGATGGCTGCGCACGGTTCCAGGCCGGGGATGGGGGTGGGGGTGCTGGAGCTGTGGGTGTCATGGGTGGCAGGAGTAGAAAGAACTGGTCTGCTGGTTCTTTCTCAAAGCTCTGGCTGTGTGAATTCACAGGAGCACTCAGTGAGGACCAGGAAAAGAACAACAGGCTCTCAGGCTAATAATGAAGGGGTCCCCCAAGGTCCCCTCTGGGCAAGCTCTGCAGCCTCCACCCTGAGGGCATGGGAATAGGCCTCCAACTGTCATTGATGCCAGACTGTACTACCCAGTGTTGTCATTTGGCACCAGTGAGAAGATGCAGAAGGGCGCATGGAGCTGGAAATCAGAGGGAAGCAGCCCCCTATCTAGAAAGGTGGCTATCTTGGTCTGAATGGGGTATTGAGTGAGTTAAGGCTTCTAGGCTCAAACAAGCTGGCTCATTTGATGCACCCCAAACTTTGATCCATCCTCATTTCATGGGGCTTCAGTGCGCAACTGGGGCCTAAACAACTCCACCCACCTGCTCCCACTGCCCTGGTGCTACCAACACGTTCTTCCCAGGAAAACAGGACACTGCATAGCCATTCCCTCCAGCATCCGCAGCCCACCCTCCCCCTCACCCCGACCAAACGTCTGTATCCAGGCCTTTTCCTGGAGATGGGAGGGGGGCTACTCACACCCACCTCCAAACCTAGGTTCACTTTGGCTGCCATTTGTTATCCTCTTCTATGCTCCTGGCTCCCTTCAACCTCACCTCCTGATACCTAAGCCGAAGTCTTCCTGGACCTCTCACCTTGGAAATCCATCCTTTCATGAACCCAAACACAACACTCCTGCCCTACTCCTTCCCATTTAAAAAAAAAAAAAAAATTAGTTCAACAATCTTAACCCACTAGTTCTCTGAGAACGTTTACTAACCCCCCCCCCACAAATCAACCACAAAGCTCCCTGGCACCCCCTTTAACTACCTCCACAACCCAATCTTCTCAGTCTCTGTAGGCTGCAAAAGCACCTCCTATCCTCTGCTGCCACCCACCCCAGGCTCTTCCTCACCTCGGCTTGCACCTACCTGTCCTCCACCCCCTCTGCAGTCCCTCCCCCCAAGGATCTAAAGTGCAAAAGTCGCCCCATCCCTGATCCTACCCTCTGCACCCCAGGAGCCCGCACTTGTTTGGTCCCCTCTTCCCTCTATCAGGACTCAGAGCCTTCACCAGGGCCCACACAGCTTCCTCCCTGGCCACTATGTCTTATTTCTGCCTCTTGGGGGACCACATACCCAAATTTGAAACCACAAGCTCCGTCTTGAATCCAAAAATAATTCTGGGGGGCCCGAACACTTCCTTTGGGAGCCCAAATGCTCCACTCTGGGTTCAACTGTCCTCTCGGAACGCTGATACCCTTCTGGGGATCTCAACACACTACTCGTGTCAAAGTCGCTTGTGGAAGCCCCAAAGCCCCCTTCTGGGATCCACACGTCTTCCTCCGGGTTCAACACCCCGAGGCTCCCGCCGGGGCCCCGACGCCCCCACTCGGGGCTCCCCCGCCCTCTTGGGGGTCCTGTCCTGCTGCGCCCGCCACCTCGGCCGCACCTCTGCCTCACTCACCATGGCGAGGCCCGGGGTGTCCGGAGCACGGAGAGCGAGGTTCCTCCGGCGGCGGCAGCAGCTGCAGCAGCTCGAGCTCCGCCGCGCGTCCGCGCCTCCACACTCACAACCCGCAGCGCGCGCCGCCGCTGCCGCCGCCCGCCCCAACGGTCCCTCACCGGTCGCCGCGCGCGCCCCGCCTTGCCCGGCCCCGCCCCTCCCGGCTCGCGCGCTACCGCACTGCGGCTCCTACGGATCCCTCCGCTCCCTGCTCCGCAACGACCGGCCCGTGGTTCGCTCATTTCCACACAGTAGAGAGGTGGGATTTAACTCTGGGCGCGCGCCCGAGCTCCCGCCACGGACTACTTTCTGTCGCCGCGCGCTCCGCCCCCTGTATCCACTTCACTTTCCTTCCTGGCGGAGGGGTACCATTTGGCTGTGCGTGACGCGTTCTTCTGTGAGCCGCGCCAGGATTGGGTCCGGCTCACGGCGGAAATAAGAGCGCTTCGCCGATTGGTCCGACCTTCCCTGCAATGCGTCAAACTGGGGCGAGCCACTGCGTGATGGTGGTGAGAAAGTCTGAGTGAGGTAGCTAAGTGGAGCTAAGAAGCAAAGCGAGGCGAAATAGGAACACTGTGGTTTTTAGAGATGAAAATATATTGCTTTTGTGGGCTGAGACTGGTATAAAGGCCAAAAGATGCAAAAAACTTTCTCGTTTCTCCCCTCTAAGAAACGGAAGGTGGTTCAATCCAAAATGCAGGATTTTCGAAGCCCCGCCCCCAACTGGGTCCTTTGCAGCGGCGGGGTCTTCAAGATTATGCCCATCGTAGAGACTCCGCCTGCCACCTTCGGAGTGTCTGTGAGTTAAGGTGGAAGTCGTCACTGTGCAGCTGTAGATCCCTCAAGTTCTGTGCAGTTGGAGCCAGGCCAGGACGGCCTGTGGGAGATGAACATGAACTCAGTCAATTTATTTAATAAACATGAATTGGACGCCTGCTGTATGCAAGAACTTGTGGTTGGCAGGTTTGGGACGCCATACTTGCTCACCATTCTTTTGTCCTTTTCCTACACAACCTCACCCCTTATCCCAGGCTTCCAGCTATAGGAGGAAAAAGAAATAATGCGAAGGTTCGCTGAGGCTGCAGTGTCTGTTTCCTGGAGCCCAGGAAACAAACCCCTTTTGTAGGCCTGGAAGTGACATTGTCTTAGTTACCGCCCCGCCCACCCCGCGGGTGATTGGCTGAGGAATGGGGTAAGTGAGTCACGCCGCTGGGCGCTCTGGAAGGCGACCGGCCGGCGGAACTGTGAGAGTCCTTCCCCGGAGTTTCGGAAATGAAGTTTGGGAGAAGAGAAACCTTTGTCTTTAGGGTGGAGAGGCTGCGGAGGACGAGGCGCTTCCCCATATACCCTCTGTGTGCCCATTTCCCCACCCTGCCCTCACCCAAAGGAAGAAAGTGTCCAGCGAGGGAATGAAAGGAGAGGGGAGAGGCCAACGGCGTGTTGGCATTCACTCTCCTGTGTTCAGCACTCTGGAGCCCAGCTGCGCCCAGTCATCCGATAATTCTTTTATTCCATGTGCAATGAGAAATTTTATTCCAAGCAAGTTTGAGTTGGATTTCTGTCACTTGCTGCTGAAAGATTCCCAATGCATATGAGCGGTCCGAGGCCCAGTCATGATCAGCAGTACCGGTCCTGGAATGGAGAAGGCCAAGTACACACGCCATGTGCTGAGCAAATACACACCATTAAAGCAGGTGCATTTTCTCTCTCCACCCCTTCTCGTTATCTCTGTGTCTTTCAATACTGGGGATTGACCAGGGCCTGAGCTACATCCCCAGGCCTTTTTTTTTTTTTTTTTTTTTTGAAAAAAGGGCCCAACAAAGTGCCAAGCCGGCCCTGAAACTGAAAACCCCCCGCCCCAACCCCCCGGGGAAACGGGAATAAAAAACGGGGGCAAGGGGCAACGTTTAACTAAGCCTAAGCCCCTAAAAGGTATGTGTTATGGGGCTGGTGAGATGGCTCAGTGGTCTAAAGCACCTACTTAGAACAAGCTTAGCAAAGCACAGGGACCGCGGTTCAATCCC